ATAAATAAATAAAATAATCAACAATCATATGACCCCATATGAGCAAGCCGTTTGGCAACAGTGGGAAGGATAAACTCCCTTTTAAGAGGACGAAACCTCAGGCAGAACCAGTCTCAAGGAGGGGGGAGGAGGAGGACATTTACAAGCTGAGAGGGCGTGTACAAGACATGACTGTTCATTTAAAAGCACAAGACAAGTACTAATAAATATGAACGTTGATTTATGGCAGTGAGACGGTCATTTATAAGACAGCTAAGCAGGTGAGATTCAAGATTTCTATTTGCATTTTGCGCACAGGTCCAACAGTCCATGCACATTGGAATTCTTGTGCAGAGGTCAAGTTACATCCATGCTGTCATTACATTAAAAGACAGCATGTGGAAATAGAAACCCGACCTTGTCCCACAGCCCTCCATTTTGGTGGATGTAAGATTAGAGATCTGCTGTACAAACAGCTGTGATGACAAACATTTAAAATGTGCACTAGCAAATTAGTAAAGGAATGCAATGGGAGCTCAGGAATTGCTTCAACTGTAGAGCTTATGATTTCCTGTCAGATGTGAATGCCGCATTTTTGTCGAGCCTGAGCATCACTGAGTCAACTGGTGCCGCCTACTCGAGCTGGGGTCTTTTCCAGTGGGTGCGAGGTGAGCGTAAAGAGGCAATCAGGAACAGACTGATCCAAGCCCGCAGAAAGCAGCTATGGATGTCTATAAACGCCGCCGCAGTCTGAGATATCGGTCTGCTCTAAAGAACTCTGTCAGTTTAGGACATTTTCTACCCAGACCAGAAAGAAATGCTTCTTCTCTCCATGTTAGACTGCAGTGTGTCTGCTCTCCGTGCCCACAGGGGGAATGCTCGCCAGCCTTCAGTGTGACTGTCACACTGTGACACCTTCTGGAGAGTTAATCGCGAATATTGAGGTCTAAACTCTCGGTGACTGGAAACGACGCTAATGAACCGCGACCGATCCATTTTGTAATTCATGAAGCAAACAACTGTAAGCGCGTCTCCTTCCGCGGGCCAGCACAAACACGACTCTCGAAGATTTAAATGAACGCGCAAACGCGTATCGCGTCGTTTGACGCAAAACAGACAATAAATGCATGTTTTTAAAGTCAATCAAAGAGAGAGAGATCAGCTATCATACACCATATAGACAAATGACATAAAAACAAACAGGCTGAGCTGCATTCTGCAAAAAGCATAAAGAAAGCAGGAGACAGCAAGTGCAACTTTCCTACCAGTTTAAAGGAAAACTGTCTCGTTGATAGTAATGAATATTTACCTGTTTTTCCGGAGTTGCAGAGCAAAGTTTAGCAGAAGGTAAATGCAAGTACTGACAAGCTAATACTTCCCTCTCACCTGTACAGAGAGGGTGGAGGAGGAAGTGCCTCTGGTCTTCTCAGGTAAAGACTCTCCTCCCACAACAATTAAGTAATTGGTGGGTTGTGTGATGTGGCACTGTACAAGCATGGGACTGAATGGTGCGAAGCCCACAGAGTACATATCCAAAAGCAAATAAAACATGCATCCTGTGACTGTCAGGCTGATAGATGTGATAGCATGAATTTCTTTATTAAGGATGGATGGACAGAGGCAAGGCAATATCACAAATGCAGACAGGGAGGCAACTCAGAAACAGTCATTCCCATACAGGCATGTTCAGACTTGCAGTAGACTCCTGGTAGTTTTCCAGTTCTGAAACACGCACACATCCTTTGAAGTCATGTTTAAGGACAGAGCAAATTTTTTAAAGAACAGACAAACTGCATATATGTAGGAAACTGTCTTGTTTTGTTGACAGCAACCAGGCAATGTACAATGCGTTGCAGAGAAAAACAAACAACAATCGGGAACCCTTCTTAAATGTTTTCCTACCAAATGTTTCAGCAGCATGTGTATTTCCCTATTCAAAGTGCAACTTTGTGTGCAGAGTTTTCGTGTTTAGAAAAGGAAGAGCTAGTAGTAAAAAATCCACTAAAAAAAGAATCCATGTCTTGTGCATTGCTGGTCTAGAACAAGTGATCTAGATCCTTTTCTGTGGGTCCAAACCATGCAAAGCTAGTGTCCTGTTACTCCATCCTGATCGTAATACCTCATACTGACTATAGAACGGGTGTGGTGCATCACTAAAGATAGCTTTGTCTTAAGCATGTGGACAAGCATTATCATATTATTTGCCATTCTAAACCATGCACTTTATCCTGTCGTATTTCCATCTATTCTACGTTTAGTCCTTTGACCTCCTGCTTCCTTTAATAGGAACAACAACAAATGCAGTTGTAGCAGTATTAGCAGCAAAAGCAGAAAAAGCAGCAGCAGTAACAGCAGTTGCAATAATTACAGAAACACCTTATGAACGGTTGAACTGTAAACTTTTGCCCCTACAAAATAAAAGCACATTCAGTTTACTATTTGCAAAGAGCTGCAGTGGGAGGAGCAGATGTGGTGGTATTCAGAGTGTGGAATTTTACATCTACTCGCTGTCAAGAGGAAGCTCTTTCATCTGTAGAGCAGAACTGGGTGCCGCTGCTTACGTGCATACATCAGGACTAAATGCACATATGCATGCAAATTCATGTATACACTGTTGGTGAATGCACAGTTCCTTAATGCAACAGTGAAAGTAATCAAACCTGACCTGTGTGGGGTATAGCCTGATGTCAGACTATAGCATCTGTGCTTTTAACACTACAACAGCTGCTTCAAATCAAACCAGGGACTGCTGTTTGCAAAGAATTTGCCACAGTTTCATCATGACTGTCAGTATGGACACTGGTGCTGAAACTCAAGCCTTCACAGTGGTAATTTCAGAACAGGCTATGCTAGAAGGGAAAAGGTGTGCATTTTAATGAGCTTAGTCTACCTACTGTGTTTCTCAATAATAAAAAGACTTTCGTTGCCCTGGGTGTTGCTTTAAAGAGCCCACACCCAAGTTTTTCTTAAGACTTCTCTGGGGAGACACCACTGCAGTCATGGTGGATGGTTGCTGAGTTTCTTCATTCAACCACCCCCCAGTGTGTAGTCCAGTTATGTTAAATATGTCTGGGTTTTTTTTGGCTTATGTTGGGGTTTCTGGTTATTATTGACCATTCGAAATTAGTTTTTTGTTGCTATGACAATTAGTTCTCGTTATTATTGTAAATGGAGTTTTGTTATCGTTTTCATGATTATTTTAGCATTTCTGGGTTCTGTTAGAACTGTCATTTTGTTTTCAGTTTACTCATTCTGGTATTGGGCTAGTTTCTACAGTGCTTTGATGCCAAGTCCCTATTATTTTTAGTTGCTTTCTGTTTTATTTTGGTACTTCCTTTTGTCTTGTCATGTGAGAAATTGGTCCCAAACTCAGGACTCATAACACAAAGGGATAAACAAAAAGAGGGAGCTCTATTGCTATGAAAAATTCAAACAATACAAACAAAACGAAACCTAAACTAGAACCTAGGAACAGTAAACTAAGAAACTGGGAACTAGAAACTAGGAGCAGGGAGTAGCAATAAGGGACAACAGAGGACTTCAATACACAGAGGATCACGAGAGAACAGGGGCCCGTTCTTCGTACCTCGCTAAGTAAGTTAGCTGGATTTTTATTAGTCATTAATCAGATGAGGGAGAACATATTTTGTTCATTTGTTTGTTTGTTTCTACAAGAGCTT